AATTGGAGAAGTTTAAATTTGTTAGAAGAGGAGAGTGTAGAGTCAGGAGTGGCATTAAAGTCACCAAGAACAATAGGGAGCAGGTTAGAAGAAATCGCCTGCTGGATCCATTGGATAATAAGGTTTTGAGTATATAGTCTAGTAGTTGAATCATTACTAGGAAGGTAGGTAGAAATAATACAGAATTTGAAGTCATGTTTAAAGAAAAGGTCTATGAATATGGCATATCCAGGATGGGTAGTAATTTTGTGAATATGAGGAGTAAGATGTTTACGGATTATAATGGCAGTGCCGGCTTTGGAGCTATCCGTACATAACCAAAAGTAAGTATAGGAGAGGGTTGCCAATGGTTTGGAATAAAATGAGCTATAAGCAAGTTTAGTTTTAGTTAGGCTAATAATGTCTAGATTATTAGCTAAGCAATAGTCTTCCCAAACTTGTTGTTTTGACTTTTGGTTAAAACTATGAATATTGTGAGTACAAATAGAAAGATTAAGAGGATAGTGGGTTGAATCATAGAGTGAGGATAAGGAAGTTTTTAGAGGAGTATAAGTAAACCAGCGCAGTAGATCTTGAAAAGGTGGGGTAAAGTGGTTTGGAAGTGGGTATGGTTCGTTAGGGAGGTAAATATGTGCTTCTTCATAGTAGTCATTAGTATCTTTCTTGTTTAAGATAGAGATTCTAATATAGGAGTGTGAGTAATAAAGAGGAAAGTCATCTCGTAGGTATTTAAGAAAAGTGAAGATTGTTTGTGGGTGTTCGAGCGAAGATAATTTGTAATAGAAGAGGAATCTGTTATAGCATGTAGTAGAATTAATAGTCAATTGTAAAATGTGTTAATTAACAGATTGAAATATTTATTAGAATTGTTATAATAAATCTCAAAGTCCAATATATATAAAAAAATAATCATATCGCACTTAATATAGTATACAAAAATGTCCTTACAAAATTTTTCTGATGATGAATATGCATATTCAGAAGAATCGCAATTATTACCAAATAAAGAATCTTCCTGGTTATTATCTAAAGAATCACTTTTATTATATGACAAATAGCAGCCTTTATCATTAGACAAAGATCCATTATTACTAGATGATGAATGTTCTTTAGATGAGTCCTCTATAAATAGTAAACCTTTTTCAGATGAAGAATCTCAAAATACAATCACAGAAACATCAACAACATCACAACAAAACATTATAGCTAAAAGAAAAAGTAATAGTAACTTACAAAATAACAATAGTAATAAAAAATCTAAGCAGGAAAAAGTTGGGTATGGCATTATATAAGAAAAGACAAACCTGCTAAAATAATCTATTGTCGAGCATGGATCAGCAGGAATGATAATCTTGAACAATGTACAAGTACATTTGAAATTACAACAAGCACAACAAATTTAGCTAGCTATCTTCGAACTATACATAGATTAAGTAAAACTAGTCCTTTATTACCTTTAAGTAGTAAAAAAAAAGTAGCACAGTTATAGCCTGTTAAATTAAACCCATCGCAGTCTACTTTATTAGAATTAGTCAATCATCAGAAACCACTTCCAAATAAAAAACAAAATAGAATTACTTCTAGAATACTAGCATGGATAGTTGATGACATACAACCTTTTAATGTTTTAGTAAATGAACGATTTCAGGATATCTTACATGAAACAGAACCACAAATCCAATTTCTGGATGAAGATTTGGTTAAGCAAAATTTATTTAAATCAGTAAGTTATTCTAAAAATAGTCTAAAAAATTTAATTAATAACACATTAGAATATTTCGCGTTTACTACTGACTTGTAGACTAAAGTTCACACACCCTATATTGGAATTACGGCGCACTAGCTTTCTTCAGAATTTAAAATGCATAAAGCTTTACTTACAATTGAAAATTTTCCATATTTGCATACATTTAAACATATTGAAGATTGTTTAAGAAAAGAATTAGTAAAATGAAATTTAAATGACAAATGTGTAGCAGGCATAACTGACAATGCTAGCTCAATAATAAAAGCTTTAAGAGATATTAGAACCTTACATATTCATTGCACTGCTCATACTATTTAGCTTGGAATTAGAGATGGTTTAAAGTATGCAGATGATCTCATAAATCATGCCAAAGCTTTAAATGGATTTGTTGCTAGAAAAGACAAATATAGAGAAAAATTATAGTCAATACAACTTGAAATATCTAAAGCAAAAAACTATTAATCAATAATAAAGATGCTTCAGTTTTGGATCCAATTTCAAATAATGTTACAATCAGTGGAATTTCACATATCTCGGCTACTTGTGCTTTATGAAGTAATAAAAAGGCTCCAAAAAGATCTTATAAAAGATAAAGAAAGAAATGTTAGAAATAATGCTAAAGCACTTGAAAAGTTACTTCTTGATGATGATAAGTTGCTAAGAATTCAGGAGTTGGTTGAATTGTTAGGTCTATTTGCACATGTTACAACTATAGTAGGTGGAGATCATTACTCTACTCTTTTAATAATGTTACTATTAGTTACAATTTTGTAAAAACACTTATATCGAAAAGAAGAAACTCTCACATATCTGATTATTTGTAATGTACATGATAAAATTGAGCTATCATTTGATGAATATTGGGAAGAACCTGGGCCAGAAAAATATATTGCAGCAAGGTTGGATCCAAGATTTAAAAACTTAGGTTTTGAGCCTGCAAAATTTGAATTAACAAAAGATGAATTAAAACACAAGATGATGGAAAGTATAAAAAATAATAATTATTCCTTACCCAACAATAATTCACCTACTTTGCTATTAAGCTCACTATTCGAAGAAATTACTCACAAGTCATGCCCTGTTAAAACTGAACTAAAAATTTATTTTGATATGCCTAAAATGGTTAAGTATGATCTTTCTAATTCTCTCTATAAAAAAAATAACTCATTAACCTTTTGGCATGATAATAAATCAAGTCTTCTTTTAATAGTATGCCAAACATGATAGTTATTATGTATTCCTGGAACTTTTGTTCCATCTGAGCATTTGTTTTCTGATGCTGGAAACACAATTACTAATAAACGAGCCCATCTTCATCCCAACACAGTTCATGATTTGCTTTTTCTAAAAGAAAATCAACACTGTTTTAACCCTTACTCTGATTTAGAATAAAATTTTCAAAATTTTTAAATAAATAAATTCTTATCTATTATCGAACAGCATATATTTTATTGTTGAGTAGAAAGGTCTATTAAAAGAATTGTAAAAAAAATTAAATCTGGTTACAAAACAATTGTAATATAGTATTTGCAATAAAGTCATCAAGTGTATTGTAAGCAAAATTAAATACCTATTACGAAATACTGTAATAAATAATAAGTCGTTTAGAGAAAAAAAATTTTACTTATAAAATCGGCTAGCCAATTTTAGAAAAAATTGACTGACCGGGTCAAAAAATCAGCTTAGCTGATTTTTTTAATTTTGGCCTGGATCACTAGCCAACAATTACTAGTTTATACAACAATCTCTGACTAGTAATAAAGGTTTATTATACAATTATTCTGTCTAATACTTATTATATGTTAGATAAACAAATTAATCTATACAATTAAGCCTCTAGAAGCCTCAAAATATTCTTATAGCTTAGGTTATTCAGGCTCTTAGTACTACTAGATCATATCCAAGTCATAGGTTTAAACTTAAAACTATGATACTGGGTCTTTGGTTCAGTTCTGCAGAATACTGCATTAGTAAAAAAAATATATTACAATATTATATTAATTTAGATTATAATACAGTCAATTCTCTATAATTGTATACTCTTAGTACTATACTTTAATAACATGTATATAGAGAATAATAAGAAATAGTGTATTTATAAAGATTAAGTATAAATTTGAGTCAGCACTTGAGCATGCTTTTAAGAGGGTGTGTATAGTATTGTTCTAGATATAGATATGAATATAGACTGTCTATAGATATAGAGAAACAATAAAGTGTCTAATTTCATGTCTATATACATAACCTAGTATTTAGAACAACACTGGGTATGTATTAGAGAGATCTGATTGTATAAATAATTAATTAGTTTGTATCAATAACTAGTATATAATTAGTAATTATATATTAATTAATTAATTTTTAAAACAATTAAATTGTGGGGAACCAATATGAGGTTGGTTTCAACATGAGGTCAATTAGTATTTTTTATGATTACTAATTGTTGGCAGACTTTAAATACTAATTGACCTCACACTAGAACAAACCTTATATTAGTCTCTCACAATTTCAATTATTATTGATTACTGTAAATTATAATTGATTGCGATTATTCTGCTATCTATTGATGCTAATTGATTATTGATAATTATAACCATTAACTTCTATATTAATAAATTTAATATAGTATTTATTTATTAGGTAGAATTGTATTCATCTTATTTAAAAATTTCTTATATATTATGCTAATATTTTTTTTAATTTTTATTATATATTCTTACTCATATTATATAGTTAGATTTTTTATATGGGGTGAGTCAATAGAAATCAAGCAAATTTTTTATAATAAAAACTTTTTATAACTTTAAGCAAGAATAACTTAACAA